CCCCCCCCCCCGGAAGAACAGATGGGGCCTTAGAACTGCTGACAGGAGGAGTCCCAGGAAGACAAGGCAGGGTTGGGGGACTTGGACAGCTCAAAGTAGAGAGTATTTACCAGCTGGCACAGGAGATCAGAGTTTTGAGTCTTCACAACTGCATAGGGTCATGCAGGGTGACTCCACCTCTTCCAGCAGCCAGACCTTGAGCAATGTACTTATCTCCTCCCAGTGTTCTTCATTAACTAAAGGAACCCCCCTGGGAGCCATGGGTGGGGGTGGGTGAAAAGGAACTGAAGAGGGTAGCAGACTTAAGAAACTCGATGGGGTGCCTTTGTTCCTTCATTCTGTATTTCATAGCCACCCATTACTGTGCTAGGCCCCTGTGGGCAAGACAATGTCTAAATCACAGTCTGAACTCAAGGACAGCCAGAATGTGCGCATACAATTAAAAGCAAAATTGGACTGAGCAGATTAAAGTGAGATTTCAGAGGTGAGTTTGGCCTGGAGAAAAAGAAGCCTGGGCAGGCTGCACAGCGCCTAAGGCATTAGGAGCCCTGGGTTGGGTCCGGCTAACCCACTGTGCAACCTTGACAAGGTTCTTCCTCTCTGAGCCCAGCTCTCCTCATCAACAAAATGTAGATTTAGCCTCCTATCTCCTCTAAGATCCCTTCCTCTTTCCGGGATGCCAAATATCTGAAAGGCTGTCATTTAGGAGACGATAAACTACACCTATACTTTATGACCCCCTAAGGGGGATGACTAGAACAAAGTATGGCAGCTAAAAGAGGCAGGTTTCTGTTCAAATGAAGGTGAGGCAGCGTGGGGCCTGCGCATCCAGGAGTCAGAGCAGGTGGCCATACTGTCTCCTCTCTCCAGGACTCCATACTTCAACCCAAGGGAGGCTTTGGATTTGTAGAGCATTTGCAAGTTACCAAGCTGGTCTAATTTTATCCCTGCAGCAAGCAGGCCTAGAAGACAAAAGGGTAGGAACCCAAGGCCCAGTTGTCAAGGAAGCCTGGGAGAGGAAGACCCTGGGAGCAGTAAAGAAGAGCCCCTGGATATGATCTGTGTTACACATTAAGGGAAGGGAATTCACAGTCATCTGTGTACATAATACATAAAGTACAAATTTACAGCAAATAACAGAATATAATCAGTGTGGGGTTAGTGGCAACAAGGGGTGGCAGGGTGCTGAGAGAAGAGTTCCTCTTCCCACTCCCATCCCATCTCTAGGGCATTTCTGCCTCAGTTCTGTCTCTGTCTTTCTCTCTCTCTCTGTCCCCACCTCCATCTCTGAGGAGGGGATGCAGCCCTGCCCTTGAAGAATATAAAGTATGGCTGGGCACACACCAGGCAGATCCATCCACATGAGACCCCAGGGACCAAGGTCCAGCACAGTATGCTCTGTTTTGTCACCAGCAAGCTGGGCAGGAGGAGGAGCAGGGGAAGGGCTTCCTGGAGGTGGGGGGAAGGGACCTGCTGACAGTTAAGAATGAGTGGAATTTCTCTGAACTACAGAGGGGCCAGATTACCCCCTTTCAGGCTGAAGGGCCTGTAGATAGCACCCTGCACCAAGCTCAGATCTAAATTAGGCATTTCACACCTTTCCAGCCCTGTCCAGAAGGAGAAATGGGGTGGGTGAGGGATCTAGGACACGCAGAAGGGCAAGTGGCCTGCCTTGAGACAAAGAGAGGGGTGAATGAAAGCTCCAAGTTCTGGGATCCTGCTAAATGTTATCTCCCGCCCCATAATAGCAACTCCAAATGGCCGTGTCCTAGCCTCCCAGAGAAATATCCCTGGAAAGAAGTCAAACAGCCATAGGAACAATCCTAGAGAGGTCACTGCCTCCTTCCCCCTGTCCTAGAGAGCACTTGCCCCCCTTCGCATTCTCCCAGACTCCGGGAACCCCATGCAGGGCCACACTCTGTGCTCTTTTCTGCCCAGGACCTGACTTCTGGGGGGCAGTGGGGAGGTCAGTGAGGCCTGGGGCTAGGGCTCACAGCGAGAGAAAGGAGACTCTTGGGGAATCTCTGTGAGTGGATCAAGCCTCTGGGATGTCCCCATGGGCCCAGCATGCTTATTCAAACCATTCCCTTTACTGTTGAAGTTCTGCTTACCTATTCACTGCTCCCTGTTCCCACTGTCCCAGGTTGGGCTGCGGTAGGGGCATGGAGAAGCCAGGTGGCACACAGTGAGCAGAACACTTCCCTGGACAGTGCCAAGCTCTCTGGCCCAGAACAGTTCATCCTGTCCTGTGCCACCCGGGAAGTAAGGAAGGCTTGAGGCCCAAACCTCAGTGTGACAGAACCCCTGGCCAAGTATGGACACATTGTGCAGAGAATCCGAGGACCAGAGATGAGGGACAGTATCTTGCGGCACTTTCAGTCCCACCCATCCTGGAATTTCACTCAAGATACTTCTGGGTCCCCAACAGTGACAAGAGCTGAGAGTAAGGAGTTAGGGAGATAAGCAAGTGCAAGAATTCGCCTCCTGGCTCGGCGCCTATAGCTCAACCAGCTAAGGCGCCAGCCACGTACACCTAAGGTGGCGGGTTCGAATCCCCAGCCTGGGCCCACCAAACAACAATGATGGCTGCAACCAAAAAATAGCCGGGCATTGTGGCGGGCGCCTGTGGTCCCAGCTACTTGGGAGGCAGAGGCAGGAGACTCGCTAGAGCCCAGGAGTTGGAGGTTGCTGTGAGCTGTAATGCCACCGCACTCTACCCAGGGGGACAGCTTGAGGCTCTGGCTCAAAAAAAAAAAAAAAAAAAGAATTCGCCTCCTGTTTACCCTGCACAACTGTCCACACTTGTTTTCTCTGCATCATCCCCCCAGGGCTGAGGAGCCCATTACCACTCTCCCCAACATCTTTGAAGACTTCTGACCTTGGACTGCATCCCACCTCCCTTTCCACCCCCACATGACTCCCCACTCACCTCCCCATTCTGCTCCACCTGGACAGATCCCAAATTGCCTCCTGCCAGGACTTCTCCCCACTCCTCTGTTACCTGCACCCTATGCTTCCTCAAGGCTCAGCACATCACACCTCCTCCCTGAAGCCTTCCCCCAAACCCAACCACCCACCAGCTGCCTGCCAGTGTTCTTTCCTCCTCTGACACCTCTGGTTAGCACCACTAATTGGATTCTTTAGCACAGGGGTCCCAACCCCGTTGGGAGCCGAATGACACTTTCACAGGGGGTCGCCTAAATACATCCTGCATATCAGATATTTACATTACAATTCATAATAGTAGCAAAATTACAGTTATGAAGTAGCAACAAAAATAATTTTATGGTCAGGGGTCACCACAACATGAGGAACTGTATTAAAGGGTCTCAGCATTAGGAAGGTTGAGAACCATTGCTTTAGTGCTTGGGGTACTGGCCCCATGTGTTGGCTGCTCTTGTTCATTTGAATGAACATTGTACGGGTACAGTGATGGAGCCTGCTGTACCTTCCTAGAAGAGATAAGCAAGAGAAGCCCATAGCAGGGAGCAAAAACGCCCAGCTTGAGTCTGAGAGATGTCCACATACATCTCTGCTCCTTTAGAGGTCCCTTCCAGGTTCTGACTCCCACTCAGACAAGAGAGCTACAGGGGATGCAGGAGGGAGCACAGGGCTGCAGAAGGGGGGATGGAAAGAACTGGAGAGTCAAAGTCTGCAAAGGCTAAAGGGTGCTGAAAGGAATTTCTGCAAAAGAATGTGGTGTCCATCCTAGAAGAGAAAAAATGGAAGCTTCCCAGGGAGGAGGGAGTTTGATCTTATCTGTTATTTACATTCCAGAAGGCCTGAGCTCTGCTTCCCATCTTAATTAGAGAATACCGGAGAATCCCTGCACCAGCAGAGGTAGAGGAATTCAGGCGCCTCTCCCACTCCAGGCCCCCCAGGCCTGTTTCCCTCACCTCTGACCTTTGGTTTGCTATGAGGGTAGACTGATGGGAGCAGGGGTTCTGAATCCATTGTCTGTTTTCTGTTGCTTTGTCCAAAGTGGGCTCATCCATTAAGCTGGATTCCTTCAGAGATTACATGAGAGGGTCTGGGAACTGTCAAGGCTCCGCTCTTGCAGGAAAAAACCCCAAACAACCTCAAACTCCCCAAAATGTGTAAGAAATAGCCACTGGAATAGCCAGTTCGCTCCGTCAGCATGCCCCCTTCCCCCCAGTCGTGTCCAGGGTGCTAACAGGTCACCATGCATCCACACAGCTGTCCATTGTGTGTGTGTCAGGCTCAGTGCTGGAGCACAGACCACACTTGGATAGTCTCTGTCCTCAGTAGTACCTGGAGGAAACTATGATCCAGCTACCAACATGGCGTGAGGGAGTAGAGACAACTAATGTGTCTCATGGGGCAAGGCCTCAGAGAAGCAGTGACGTTGAGCTGGTCCTCGAAGGACCCATAGGTGAGTGGGCAGTAATGTTGGAAAAGGCATCGAGGGCAGAAGGAGAAGCACAGGCAAAGGTCTGGATCCTTTCCTCTCTCTCCCACTCTGCTAGATCCTTCTATCAGCATTCAAGCATATCCCAGTGTTGCCCACCCACCTTCCTCTGCAGCTCCTTCCCCAGCTCTCTATTCCTTATCACAGCTAAGCATCCCACATTATTCTCTACACACAGGCTCCCCTCACCCCTATTCCCTCTTCAGCCCACTCTAGGCTCCCATCACTCCACAGAAGCTGCACTAGCCAAGGTTTCCAGATCTCCATGTTGTTAAAATCAGTGGATACTTTCTGTTCCTCATGTTCTTTGAACACTCAGTTTCCAGTAGCTGAACACTCCTCTTCTTGAAACACTCTCCTCCCTTGGTCTCCCTGATACCTGCTGCCAGGCTTTCCTCTAATTGTAGTTTCTTGGTCTCTTGGTCTCTTTTCCTGATCCTTCCTCCTTTACCTGATCTCTAAATGGACCTAATCTATATGTTGACTTTCCTCAGGACTGGATCCCAACCCCCTGGATTGTTACTGTTTCCTTAAGTCATCTCATACGTTGTCATGGCTTTAATTGCATCTTCTATATACTGAAGCCTTCCAGATTTAGATGTCTAACTCAGACCTTTCTTCTGAGCTCTGGCACAGCCTGTGGAGCTTTCTCCTTAATCTATCCCTTTAGATGTCTCTTAGGCATTTCAAATTCAACCTGTTCAAAACTATAGATTATCGATCTTAGTTCTCACCTACTATTTCTCAATTCTTGTTCATCTCAGTAAACAACACACCATCCAATCTAGGCTGTCTCTGCACTACTGCAACACCTTCCTAACAAAGGTCTTCTCATGGCCTTGATCTACATCCCAACCACCAGGGTCTGGCTGGTGAGTGACAGCTTACATCTGTCATCCCAGTACTTTGGGAGGTTGAGGTGGGCAGATCTTTTGAGACCAGGAGTTTGACCACCACTCTGGGCAACACAGAGAGACCCCATTTTTACATTAAAAAAAAAAAATAGAAAAATTAGCTGAGCATGGTGGTGTCCTGTAGTCTCTGCTGCTTAGAAGGCTGAATTCGGAGGATCACTTGAGCCCAGGAATTCAAGGCTGCAATGCGCTAAGATCATGCCATTGCACGACAGCCTGGGCAGGCAGACTGAGACCCTGTCTTTGAAAACTTTAAAACTAAAAATCAATCAATAAATCCCACAGGCTGGGCATGGTGGTTCTGTAGTCCCAGCTATTTGGGAGGCCGAGATGGGATGATTGCTTAAGCTCCAGAGTTCAAGACCAGCCTGGGCAACTTAAAGAGAGCCCCCCCACCTTTTTTTTAACCGACAAGAGTCTTACTTTGTTACCCTCAGTAGAGTGCTGTGGCATCAGAGCTCACGGCAATCTTCAGCTCTTTGGCTTAGATAATTCTCTTGTCTCAGCGTCCTGAGTAGCTGGAACTACAGGCACCCACCACAACGCCCGGCTATTTTCTTGTTGCAGTTTGGCCAGGGCTGGGTTTGAATCTACCACCCTCAGTATATGGGGCCAGTGCCCTACTCACTGAGCCACAGGCACCGCCCAAGAGACCCATCTTTTTAAAATAAATACATAAATAATAAATAAAATAAAATACTATGTCCATCACCTGCTTGAAATCCTTCAATGATTCAGGAAAAAATCTTACATCCATGGTTAGTCCCTGACTCTCTTGAGCACCACCTTCTACAGTCCCATTCTGACAACCAGCCCTCGCCCCACTGGGCTTCACATGGTTCTTCTACATTTTTCTAGTCTGAGCACCTCAGACTAGGTCCACTCTGCCAGTCACATGTCACACATGCCCCCTCCCCCAACCCCACTTAGCTCCCTTCCACCCCATCCTCAGGGATCTCCTCTTAACTTCTCAGACTCTAGCTAAATGCTCTGGCATCCATAAGGGGTCGATGAATGTGGAGAAAGAAGGGGGGGGCGACAGTGGGAGGGAAGGAAAAGGGATGAAGAGAAGGTGAGACTTAGAGCAAGGAAGTGTGTGGAGCGGGCAGGGGAGGCTGAAGCAGAGGCCAGAGAGCTGCCCGGAGCTATGCCTTTGGGCATTTCATTCCAATATCTGTATGGAGTTATTTAGATTTATTTCTGACACTTCATTGTTATTATCACATTTTTTACTGAATGACAGCTGATGATATTATTAATTGGCGACTCCAGTGGGTCCCATGGACGCAGTCCTTACCTTCCTCTGCCCCCTGGTGGCTTCCTAATTACAGAGCAGACTGTTTCAGTCTAACCCTGGGCTACTATAATATGCTTTGATTTTCTGGCTTATAGCACCACCGTTTGGCCAAATCTGCTCCATCCACGTTGACTTCCAATCTTTCAACCTTCCCTTGGCAGTTCTTGGAATTAGAGCCTCTTAGAGTGCAAATGTCAACGGGCACAAGCCTGCCCCATACCTGAAATTCCTTGTGGAGGGTTAGCCATGCCAGCAGTGTGGATAGAATGTCAAATTACTATGGTTCAGGAGTCAAGAAACTGGTCCTATGAATGCCAGATGCGTGGCCCTAATCCCAGACGTCACACTTGTCCCCAGGTTATCTCAGGTTTCTTTGTCCTGCCCCCTTGTCCCTACACCTTCCTGCTGTAGGGAACACCTGCCACCTCCCACTTGCAGCTTTTTCCAGATTAGCTCAGTCCCATCAACACAATCTTTGATTTCTGCCCACTGGCTCTCACCATACTTCAAAAAATAAATGATTTAGCTCTTTTTTGTTATTAAAGTCAGATATGTTCATTGTAGCAAATTAGAAAACACAGACAACCAGAAAAAAAATTTTAAACTCTTCAGAATACTACCTCCTAGAGAAAACTAT